TGGGGGGGGGGGGGGGTTCTTCCGTGGTTGTTTGCATATCTGTTTCTTAACGTACCGATGATTCAATTGGATGCACAAATGACGGTGCAGGCAGGTTTAGGTTTGTTTCGACCGGGCGGGGGAGGCTCGCTGATTTACCGGAGCCTCACGGAAGCCAGTTCGCGCTCTGGTGATGCCTTCCCAGAGTGGTAGTCGGCGTGGCGTGCAGGGTTTCTGCGGCGGCGGTGTATGCCGTTTGACTTGCGAGATTCGCGACGACTGTCGTGAGCGAAAGTGACCACGCAAATACAGAAACACTATCGAGAGCGTTTGGGGGCCGGGGGGGTGAGTGGTTTGTCCCCGCTGAGACCTTGGCATAGTCTCGTTCGCGGGCCGGCTAGCGCCGCCAATTTGGACGCCGCCAGGGTAGACGGCAAGGAAGCAGACGCCTTTGTTTCTTGTGTTGTTTTCTTGTGTGTGTCTTGTGGTGGTCCTATAATATGTTTTCCATCCGACTTCCGAGTCTGACTGGTGCTTGCTTTTTCTTTGGTGGCCTCTTGTTTTTGTTGTTTGGAATATTTTGCTTGTTTTTTCTCTGCGTTTCGTGTGTGTTTGGTGCCATGCTTCGTTTTTTCTGGCACCCGAGATTCGGTTCCTTTCGAAGAGACTGTATCTATCGGCAGAGGAGGCAACACGGTCTGTCGGGCGAAGACGACCAATAACAGCAACAACAACAACAACAACAGCACAACAACGCGTACACCCCTCCTCCCTCCTCATCTCCCTCCCCCCCCTCCTCCTCCTCCTCCTCCTGTCTCTCCTCTCACTCCACCCCCTTTCACCCCCCCCCCCCTGTCTCTCCTCTCACCGTACCAGGACACGTTCTCGCGATTCCTGGGGCACTCGATGATCGCAACGTCCTCCTCCCCCTCCTCCTCTGAGCGGATCTCCGCCGGTCTGCAACAGACTAGCGGTGGGTGTTTGCTGGAGAGGGAGGTGAGCAGCATGGCGATTGTGGTGGGCACGACCGGGGCGGCGGCGGCGGCCGCGGCAGGGGGGGGGGGCGGAGGGGGCGATATGTTTTGGCCATACGTGACCAGGGCAGCGGAGATCCTGACGACCTTCAGCAAGAGCGACGGCGTCGTGAAGGAAGGGGTGGCGGAAGAGCATTGCTTGCAAGGTGGGTGGTGGTGGGTGGTGGCGTGTGGTTGCTCTGTTTTGGCTGCTTTGACGGTCGTGCGGGGGGAGTGAAGCTCTACGTTTGGTTTGGGCGGCCGGTTCGAGTGAGGGGTGTAGATGGTGCGGCGCGTTGTACGGCGTGTTGTTGTTGCTGCTACTTCTGCTGCTGCTGCTGCTGCGGTGGTTGTTGTTGCTGGTGTTGTCGGTGTTGTTCTTGGCGATTTTTGTCGTCCCTTTCACGGGACTAGCAGGGATTTTGGCCTCTACGACCCCAGCACCCTCCTCTTGCGTGCTTGTTTTGGTTGGTTAGAAACGACCTCCAGCTGTGGCCACGAGGCTGATACAACCAAAGGTGAACCTAAATACCCAGAAACCAAGCCATATTTATTGAATCGAACAAAATAATTACGGTCCGTCTGGTATGTCATGCTTTCCAGATGTGCGATATTTGTTTGGCCGTTTGTTCACTTTTTCACGTTTTGCTTTGTGGCGATGACGTGCGATCTTCCGTGTGTGCTCCAATTATTGCTACGCTTCGCCCGACTGTTCTGTTTCGTGTGTCCGAGCGCGTAGGGGTCATGCGGGCGCTGTCGAGCATCTGCCCGGCCTACCTTGGGTTGCCAAGGTTCTGCAGCCTGGCTGTGACTCTCCTCACTGTCCTCAAGAACCTCAGCATGGAGCCGTCCACGCTCGAGGTGACTACTGCCCCCCCCCCTGCTGCTGCTGCTGCTGTCGTTGTTGCTGTTTTCGGTGTACTGATGTCGTTGCCCTTGTTGTTGTTGTTGTTGTTGCTGTTGCTGCTGCTGCTGTCGCTGATGGCGGTGATGAAAGTGGCATTATTGTCGTCGTCGCGTCATTGCCGGGTGTCATTGCCGCTGGTGTCGTTTTCCTGTTTCCAGCTTTCTCACTCGGTCTCCTTCTCCTTCTCCTTCTCCTGTTTCCATCTCCCTGGCTGGCTCTCCCTCCCTCGTGCGCTTTTTCGTGTTCTCTCTCCCGTCGCGATCCATCCGTCCAAGGCCCTCGACAAAGCGGGCGCCATCACAACCCTCGTCTCCCTCCTGGGCCGTGGAGAAGAACAACAACAGCAGCAACAACAACAACAACAACAACAACAACAACAAGACGCCGCCGCCGCTGCCGCTGCCGCCTCGTCCTCCCAAGCAAAACCACCACCACCAACGGCAGCGGCAGGCGTTATGGGGGCAGCGGGGAGCGGCGGCGGGGTTGACGAGGATCTTGAGAACCAGGTCCTCCAGTGTATGTTTTACCTGTGCAGGATCAGCCGGAAGCGGCAGGAGAAGGCCGCCCGCGCGGGGCTCATTCCTCACCTTCGAAGGCGAGATGTTTTTGGTTTTGTTTGCGAGGGATTGAGGTGGCGTGGGGTTTCGAAGGCATGCGGCTAGAATTTGAGGCGGGACTGGAGAGGGGCGAGGTTTTAAGTGTCTCTTCGTACAGGCGGTGTGTGGCGAAGGCTGTCGAGAATGGAACGGTAGACGGCGTGCCGACTGACTGTTTTTGTCGAGGAGCCGAGTACTGTTTGGTTCAAAATTGGATGTTGTTTTTCAAGAGTGTGTGGTTTTGGAGAGTATTTCTTGGGGGCCGAAGGGGGGTGCGTCGTGCGGACGTCAGCTATCGTGGGTGGGAACCAGCCTTAGCCGCCCGTTGTCCGGTGTCTTGCTCATATTGCAAACTCCTGACTTTTTCTGTAGATTGGTTTGTCGGATTTTTTAGACCTTTTGGTTCTCTTTGGTGGTGGCTATTTGCCATTTCACATCGTTAACGCGCTTCTTCCAAGGATAAAACCGCCGCCCCCCTTGGTTATTTCCTCCATCCAGTGTAACACACTCCTTGGACGCATGAACCTCCGCCCCCTTCCCCCCAACGGTCCGCTCGCTCTCCGTCCAAACAGGTGCGTGCTGGAGCAGTCGCGGCTGAAGCAGTTCGCTCTCCAGATGGTGTGCGACTTCGCCCACACGTCGGGAGTGGTCCGGAGCTTGATGTGGGACGAGGGGGTGCTGGACTTCTACCTGTCGGTCATGCGCAGCCCCAAGGACACCCATTGGCACGTTACCATCTTCCGCAGCCTTTGCGCCTGGTGAGTTTTGAGGTGGTTTTTGTCCCTTTCTTGGCCTTTTGCTGGACCAAAAATCATTAGTAACATGAAAAAAACGGTAATTTTTTGTTTGTGCATAATACTTGGTTCGATTTTCCGTTTGATTATTCGGGGGGGAGTTTTTGTCCGGTGCGGTGCGGCATAAACGTCCTTTTTGCTTCTCTTGGTCCCGTGCCCCCCTCCTGCTGTCTCCTAACCGGCCTGCTCAATCTCGCAAGCCGTGCCATGTAGATTTCCATGTTACGCTCAGCACGAAAGGCGCCAGAGTCAGTTGAACCAAAAGTACGGATATTATAAGGTACGTGAGCTGGGACCGGCGATGTTTTATTTATTGAGAAGACAACAACGACAACAACAACAGCAACGCCCCTCAATGTGCCATGTGTCATACTCCCGTGCTTGCAGGCTGTCGAGCGAAGGGGAGACGGAGCGCGTGGCGGGCAGGCTGGTGGAGCCCCTAAACCTCGATAAGGTTATCTGCCTGTTCTGCACCGCGCAGCAGGTGGACTTCGAGGAGGTGGTCGACAAGCTGCACCTCATGATGGTCAAGAGCCAGACGCTCGTCAAGGTGAGAGATGACAAGAGATGACAGGACCGACAGACAGACAGACAGACAGGACACAAGAGTTTGCACGCAGCGGCCGCCGTCGGCGACGCGACGCCTTCACGAACGAGTGGATGAACATTCTCCCCAAGTGTTCCAAGTGCTGTTTAGGGTTTGTAGGCATATCAGCCCTCTTCGTCCCTTGGCGGTGGTACTGGCTGGCATATACCCTCGTAACGATCTGCCTGGTTTAAGGTTGAGAGTCAGGGTTTCGGTAGCCGGTCAGTTCTCGTTCCCGCCGTTTTCTTGACTTGTGCACGTACACACTGCTGTCCTTGTTTTGTTGGTCCTCTAGTTTTGTTTATCATTTTTGCTGCCTCCTTCCTCCCCCATCTCTTGTTTCTCTTTTTTTTTTTTATGTGTTAAAGTTCATGGCTCCGTCAACCTCACCGAGAGACGCGACTTGTCATTTTTCCCTCGCGGTCGTCCAATTTTTTTTTACTTTCGTCTTGGTTCCGAACCAACAAACAGGCGCTCGGCTCGTCCGCGACGTTCATCGTGGAGGTCATGGAGCGTCTCCACTACCCCAAGGCCGTCGTCGGGAAGACCCTGCTGGGCATGCTCCGCATGATCCATCACCAGCACCCGGACCCGGCCGCCCTGGTGCGCGACTTCGACCTCTACCGCATCGTGCTAACCCTGGCCAGGAACGAGTCTCAGGTTCTTGTGGCCGAGCTCGCCGGACAGCTCCTGCAAGACTTCGACCGCGGGGGGGGAGGAGGTGCCGCTGTTGATACCGGTGGCTGCGGTGGTGGTGGTGGTGGTGGTGGCCAGAAAGGTAGCGTTGGGGAGGCGGTGGCAGCGGCGATGTCGGAGCCGAAGCCGGTGTCGCCGTCCGCGCCGCCGCCCCCGCCCCCGCCGCATGCCGTGCCGCGGCCACCGCCGCCGCCGCCGCCGCCGGAATTTGCCTCCGCCGCCGCCGCTGCGTGCTCGGAGGAGGGGGGGATCGAGGAGAAGAAGGGCGGCGGGTCGGGGGAGGGAGGAGGCAGGGCCAAGCCGAGGGAAGAGGCGGCGGAGTGAGTGAGTGACTGCTGTATAGACGGTCGTGCGGGGGACGGGGGGGGGGGGGGGGGGCCAAGGGCTGCCTGC